ATATATCCAGGAAGTCCCGGAACAAATAGGATAAGTTCTAGGAAGCGGAGAGGTACTAAGATAAGGCTATAGCAGTAACGAAACGGCTATACTAATAGCACCTACTTTACTTAACCGGGAAGAATAATAACCTCCTTTAACGGCTATAAAAATAAGCACGAATTAAAGGAGAAGTACCGCTAAACCTCCTATCGGTGCTACTACTATACCGAGATAATAGCGATAACCCGGTAATTATATACGTAGAGAAGGCCGAAATCCTTAACCGGATGTTCTTCACCCCCCCCCTCCTTATTACCCCTAGGCCCCTAAGCGCGGAATTCCCCCCGGGGTAGAATATCCACCGCGATATCACCGTAGCGGACGTATAAGGGCGCCTTAAGAAAACTAAACCCTAGGCGGTACTAGAACCTAATAGGCTCCTAGCAGGGCTCGAAAAGTATATAGACCCCCCTTATACTAAAGACTAAGTACTATCTTTATAGCGTGCCTTAAAATAGGCTATTACCCGAAAAGGTACTATTACGCTACCGTGGTAATCCTTAAAAAGGAAGGTCGGCCGTCGGCCGACTATAAGATAGTAAAGAGCTAATAACCGATATTACTCCTTAGTATAATAGGTAAAGTCCTTAAGGGAATACTAGCCGACCGGATCGCTATTATAGCGGAGGAGTATCGGCTCCTCCTAGAGGGGTAGATAGGTAACCGGATAGGGCGAAATATAAAGATAGTAGTATAAAGAGTTATAAAGGCTATAAGAGCGAGTTAGGCCTATAGCGGCACTATTTCGATACTCTAACTAGATATTAAAGGAGTATTCGATACTATCCCTTACTCTTGCCTCCTTAAGGTCTTTAAAAGGAAAGGCTTCCCCCGGTAGCTTACTACCCTAATTAGTAGTTTCCTTTAAGACCGTATAGCCTAGCTACTACTTAATAGCGAAACGGCCCCCCCGCGGTACGTCTACGAGGATATACCGTAAGGCTCCCTAATCTCCCTTATCCCCTTTATTATCTATATCTTTACCCTTTATAAGGAATTAAAAAGAGTCCTTAAAACGATTGTAGTAGGTTTTACCGATAACACGAATATTATCGCCTTTAGTAGGATAGAGGCGTAGACGCGGTAACGCCTCGCTAACGCGTGGCGGATATACCTAGACTAAGAGATAGCGAGCGGGCTATAATTCGAATTAGCTAAGTATATCTATATCCCCTTTATAAAGTTACGCTAACCCTTACCTACCCCGCTCCCCCTTAGCGCTATTTCGGTACCGGTAACGGAGGCGATAAGGCTCTTAGGCGTCTAGCTTAATAGGAAGCTCGACTTCCGATAATATATTAAAAAGATAAAAAGCCGTCTAGCTACCTAAATATACGCCCTTTTAAGGCTTAGCGCAGTAGGGAAGGGGTATAGCTTTATAGACGTAAGAAAACTATTCCTTATAATAATACAACTAATAATCGCCTATTACGCCTTAACTGTTTATAAGATAGGGGCCGGCCCCTGGCACGGCCTTATAGCGGCACTTATAACGGTATAGAACCGGTACCTCCGATTAGTAGCCGGAGCCTATAAAGCTAAACCGGTTAGGGTCCTCGAAAAAGAGACCTTTATCCCCCCCTTAACCTATATCTTTTAGGCCTAAATACCCGGAAGGTTTACCGGATATAAAAGGAGGGGACCGAAGATAAAATATTAGCCGGAGTATAGGTTATAGTAAAAGCCTAACAGTACCGAATTAGTATTATAGGACTTATACGGCCCTTATATAGATAGCCTATATTAACGCCTTAATAACCTAGACCGGAAACGCGGCCCTAAGGAAAGCCCTTATAAGGGAATAGGGCTAAACCTAAGTAGAGGTATAAAGGCCCTATACCTACGCCGTAACGGCACTAAGCCGCCCCCTAATATAACACACCCTCCGGAAATATAAAGGACTTCTAAAGCTATATAGTACTATACTTACCTAAATCAGATTAGAAAAGCTAGGCCTATAAGCCTTCCTAGTTAAAGTAAGGGTACCGGGATTCCTAATAACGCGGTGCCCCTATAGTACTAGGGGGGCAGAAATAGCAGAGCACGTAGTGCTCTAGTACTAGGACGTAACCGAGGAAAAGCGTAAGGAGCTTTTCGGTACTATAAGAAGACTACTTACAACTAAAGGGGATTTATATAACGCACTAGACTGTAATATAAAAGCCGGGGCGATAGCTAAGTGGTTCCTATAATAGAAGAGGCTTAAGGACTTTCGCCTCGCCCTTAAAGTTATAGAAGCCTATAAGAACGCGGCGGTACTATAGCGGGGAAGAGGTAATATAACGGTCTAGTTAGTATTAAATAAGGCCTTACTAGCCAGGACCCTAGCGGTATTAAAGCGTTATTGGGCTAAAGCCCCCCCCCCCTTTTGACTCCTTACTAGTTTCGTCCTTACCTCCCTTAAAGGTGCTAATACTACTCTTAATATACTTAAGGTCCTAGAACCGGTTCGCTATACTACTACTATAGGGGCACTATAATAAAACCGAAAAAGGACTACGTATATAGTTATCTATTAGGATACCCACTATACCCTTTATACGGCGAGTTCGGCGGAGGATATTATACAAGAGCGCCTCTACTGATAAGGTACCGCCACGGCTATAACCGGAAAGTAGCGCCCGGGAGACAGTCTATCTAAAAGATAAAACCGCTACATTTAAGCGCTCCTTAGCCTAATAGGTTATTAGTATAGCGCTACTGCAATATTAAAAGAAGGCTATTTACTATAGCGATACCATCGCTAATTATTATTATTAGAAGGAGGTATTTATAGCTATTAGTATACTATTACTATAATACCGCTATAATATAGGGATACTTATATTACGACTTTATTTACGGTTAATATTATAATTATTATTACTACTACTATTATACTACCTAATTAACCCTATACTACTATAACGCTACCTATAAACTACTATATACTAGATTAATCGGGAAATTATAAATTAAGAATAGAAAAACTAGAAGATAGTACTAATTAGCACGATACCGCGATAGTAGCCCTTCGAGGCTATAAGCGGGAACGTAATAAAGAATACCTATAACGTAATGTATAGCGTTATGGGAAGGAAAAAAGGAAAAGGCAAAGGACCTTAATTTCTATTATCTATCTATTATTTTCGGGTATACGCGGAGCCCTACCCTTCTTACCTACCGCCGGATATAGAAGGCACC